ATGATTAAAAAAAAAAAAAAAAAAAAATACAAATAACGGCTGATGTGGTCAAATGAATTGGAGGATTTTATCATGTGGTGTCACAACAGACTTTTAGTTATTAAAAATTTATACAGCAGTTTTTCATTTATTATTTCAAAATTAAAGTTTCTACATTTTTATACTGATTTTATTGAGTGACCTTGTCAGTCTCAAAACTTACCATTTGAGCTTGAATAAGATTAAAAAGATGCAACCAATTATTTTCACCTTGCCCACTCATAATAGCTTAAAATACAGTGTTCATTGGTTCAATTCAAAAATTTGTCAAAACATCTTAATAGCACAAGTTTACTTTCAGTGCTTAATAGGTGGGGGACATTTATTTTTTCCAGAATTTTCTGAAACCACCATCAGCTTAAGACCATTCTGTTTTTTAATTTCATTTTTGTTGCTTTTACTTTGGTAAATTTTGGTTTTAACTCCCAAGCGCTAAATATCCCTTAAAATTTTCCAAAATCATTATAATTCCATGCAAATGTACATGCTGAACTCGAATTAACAATTAAATTATGAAGAAACCATACCGTTTTAGAGTTATCGACAAGAAAAAAAAAAAAAAAAAATGTACTTCTTGTTGGTCATTCGTCCCCCATTACTGCCATCATGAATACTCATTCAGTGTGGGGTACTTCCGGCCTATTTACTTCTTTTACAGACTCGCCTTGCAGAAAATCACTACGCATTACCGTAAAGGAATGTAGTTTTTTTTGGTAAGTATAGTTTTATTTATAACAAAAACAAATTAAATAATACAATAGAACCTTTTTTCCCCCCATTTCGAATAGCAATGACAAATTAAAAGAACAAATTAAAAAATATAGCATTTTTTATATTGTAAAATTGAAAATAAAACAAAAATTAATGCAAAAACTTGGTAAAGTAGAAGGGTTGATTGTATTATTTAAATTTTTTTTTTAATTTGTCCCCTTTTCTACAGATCACCTAACCTAAAAGTTAATCTTTAAAAGGTTTAAAAAATAAAAAAAAATCATTAAATAATTTACCAAGTTTATGCATTAATTTTTTTTATTTTCAATTTTAAAATATAAAAAATGCTTTATTTTTATTATTTAATTTGTTCTTTTAATTTGTCATTGCTATTCGAAACGGAAAAAAGGTTCTATTGTATTATTTAATTTGTTTTTATTATAAATAAAACTATACTTACCAAAAAAAAATTACATTTCTTTAAGGTAGTGCATAGTGATTTTCTGCAATGAAAGTCTGTAAAAGAAGTAAATAGGCTGGAAGTACCCCGCACCGAATGAGTATTCATGATGGCAGTAATAGGGGACTAACGACCAACAAGAAGTTCGATTTTTTCTTGTCGATAACTTCAAAATGGCATGGTTTCTTCATAATTTAATTGTTAATTCAAGTTCAGCATGTACATTTAAACGGAATTATGATGATTTTGGAAATTTGGAAAATTTTAAGGGATATTCAGCGCTCAGGAGTTAAAACCAAAATTTACTTTTATTTCATATTGAGAAAAGTTAAGACTCCCCTTGTATTATGAACATAAAAAGGCAAGTTTTTCATAAAATTTTTATATAATTACAATTTTTTTTTTTTTTTTTTTTTAAATTTTGATGAACAGAAATTAAGATTTTATTCTGAACCATGGTGTTCTTTTTAGGCCAAACCATAGAGTGACTCACAGCCAGAACTGAAGAACTATCCAAAACATTGTCCTCCTCCTAGGAGCAAAAGTTTTCAGTTTGAGTTTGTGGTAGCTGTTTCAGTTGGCTAAATAATTTTTTGCTTTTTACATTTGGAATAACTTTAGTTTATTTAATTGAAGCAAGTTTAAGACTTATCTTTATTTCCTTTAGATTGACTATATTTTTTTTAATGAAATTTTTATTCATAAAATCAAACACACTAACATTTTTGCATAATCTGTATTTCCTTTTCTAACAAATGAAAAAAGGATGTTGGATTTTTACAATGCTTCTTATACCGAAAAAGATAACATTTTAATTTTATTTGATTTAAAAATAATTTACTAATTTGATTTTTCCTCATCTTCTGATAAATGCTACAAAGTCTCTCAAGAAAGTTAATTTTAATGCTTTTAATATCTTTTTTCTTCAATTCTGTAGACTGAAATTTCTTTAAAAATACTATTATTTGTTACATAAACATAACCATTAGCACTGTGTAGGTGACTATTTTTGCCAAGCAAAATAGTAGTCCTGTCAATGCAAGTTGAATTTGAATTTCTTGGTTGTGTAGTCATATCCTTCTATGGCAACATCAAAAACAATCTTGAATGAAATTGAGAGCCAAGAGAACTGCAATTTCAAATATATAGAACTAATATATAAAATACTATTTTGAGGGAATTCCATATACATTAAAAGGGGAAGTAATATTTATAAATGATGCAGAATGCGGAATGTTAATTTAATATTTTCATAATATTGTTATTCATATTTTAATAAAATTTAACCCTTTTGAGCCCTGCATTCCTAAACAATTTTAACCTTTCTGCCTGAGCTGAGACAAAATTCACAAATAATTGGTATGTAATATTTCACAGTAGATATAAAAATAGTTACAAGTGTTTATCCACCAGTGACTATGCATTATGTCATTTTTCTCTATCACCGGTAAAGCGGTGGTCAGGGCTCAAGGGGTTAATTTATGAGTAATGTCTTTTTCATTCTAAAACGTATTTAAGAAAAGAAAAACAAAGTATGTTGAATTTTAGATTAGTTTGCTATTAAAAAATTTTAAAATAGGAGCAAATGTGAAATTTTATACTAAAAAATTTATGAAAATATTTTATTATGAATGTTAAGTTAATGTCAAATAAATTCAATCCAATATTTTTAGATATCGTAAAAGAGGTTTACAAAATGTTAACCTTAAACCTGATGCTAAGCCATACATTTGTAAAGTTCATAAAGTATATTTATGACAAAATAAGTCAGCATAACAATAGTTACTTAATTTCTAAACAATAAAAATAAGAAAAGTTAAATTCTTGCTCACTTTTTTCATTTTATATAGTTTCAGAATTGATAGTTCCGATATATTTTTGTTTCATTAAAACTGTTTTAACATGGATAATTAAAAGATTAAAATGCATATAACATTTCATATCTTCTTAATGGGCTGGAAAGTGAAAGAGAACAAGCTCCATCAAATTATATATTAATTGTAATAAAATCTTAAAGAAAAAACAAGATAAAGAGAATATATATTTTGGACCAAATTAATTATGCTCTTAATCTTTTTTTCTTTTGAATTTCTTAAGCTAACTACAGGAGTAAACTACCGGCAAACAAAACCAAAACTAAAAATCCCAGTGGAATGATGAAATCTCCTGGCAGTGAGTTGCACTATGACTTGGCCTGAAGTAAAGAATGCTACATTCTGAACAGGCGTTCAAAACTCAGCTTCAACTTTAAATATGATGTCATTAAAATATACGATTAATAAGAAATAAGAAAAGTTAAATGAAGTTTGACATTCAAATAACTTCAATTCTAACCTCTGATAATGAAGGTTTTTTCTTTTCTTTCTCATACAATTAAATATAGATTCAAGAATAATCAATTGTTACAAATAGCTGACCAAGTGTAGTATGTAAACATTACAAACTTAAAGTTTTAGCAATAAGTGGCAAAAGAAAGAAAATAAAACTTAAACAGTTATGTATTATTTTGATATTCAAAAATATGAATGAACTTACTATCTTTGAATGAAATACTGGAAAGATTTTATTTAGTTGTTTAAATATTTAAATCTGCAGATATTTTTTTCAAATGAAAATCCCAAATTAATGCCATATTTCCAAAATACTTTAAAAGCAACAATTTTAAGACAAAAAAAAGAAAGAAAGAAAAAAAAAAAGAAAGAAAGAAAAAAAAAAGATTTAGAGACCACCTTATACATTTTAGCAGAGTTACCAATTTTCTGAATTTAAAACAACTAAAAAAAAAAAAAAACTAAGCGAGGCAATAAAACCACTAAGACAAGTGTGAGAGAATATTAAAAAAAAAAACAAAAAAAAAAAACAGGAATTAAGAAAACAGAAAATAATTGACATTGCATTTAAATTTTTGAAGATAAAAGTTGACTGGGAAGCAAGAAGCTGGAAGGGAGTTCCACAAGTGAGAAGTGCGAGAGAAGAAATTATTAGCATAGAACTTATGGTTATATCTAACCAGTTCAATTGTAAAATGATGAGATCTTGCTGCCAATATAGTACTGCTCTTAAATTCATAAAGTCTAGGTATCATCAAATAAAGTTCATCAGAACAATTACCATGAAAGTATTTATAAAGATACAGGAAAGCTATATGAAAAGGATATATATACATACAGCATTTAATATAAGGAATTTCAACCCACCATGTACAACTTCTGTGCCAGATTTCAAATGCAAAGTTTCAGATACCTAAGATTATACTGTATATATGACTGACTGAAGCCTTACCTATAATTCATCTAACAATAACAACAGTAGTTAATGTGCTGTAACATCAACTGTTCACCGATTTAGTTTCTCCTTAATTTCATGTGGATTATAATGATAAAGAGTTAAAATTGATATTTTTAGTTATAAAATAAAAAGTTATCTTCATGAATAGTCAGATTTTATATAATTGATAGGTAAAGTATTTCATTTCTAATTGATCATCTATCAACAATGGCTTAACACATCCAAATAAAGTTATGTGATTGTCAATCAAAAGGTTTTGAATTTTTTCTTTTAATACTTAATTTTTACACATTGTAATAAAATAACAGGTAAAAAATATAAATCTTTCTATGTAAAGATACCCATAGATTGAAATGTATTAGTCCTAGTATTTACTTCAACAATGAGAATCTATAAACAGAAATTAGACCTTAAGTGGAGATACCAAAATATTGCTCATTTTCCCTTTCATAAGCTTATAAAAAAAAAAAAAAAAAGGAAAAAAAAAAGTGTGTAAACTTACTCTTCTTACGCTTTCCTTTTGATTTTTTGTCAGCCATCTTATTCTTGTCATCAGCTTCATCTGGAAATCCAGAAACTATCACTTTCAGATTCTCATTGTCTACAGGAGGTGGCGGGTCAGAGGTGTCTGTCGAGTGTGAGGAATTGGACGCAGGCAGATGCAGAAAGAAGTTAATCTTGTCATGAACACTTTTCTCTGATAAGGTAGACCCTGGTGTGGATGATGTCACTTTCTTCTTCATGTTGGCTACTTTCTCTTCAGACTTACAGCTGTGATTGGAGACATCAAGACAGTTGCCGCCAAAGTTGTGGTTCTCACTAGATATGGTTTCCAGATCATTACTTTGTTTGCTTTTGCCATTTAACAACCAGTGTTCCTTTTTGAGCAGAGTGGTGCTAGCAAGTTTCAAGTTCAATGATTTTGCATCCTACATGGAAAGAAAATTAAGACATTAAACTTTATCAAGGCAAACTGACTACAAAGCTCAGGCAATATTTGAATGGCATTTTTTAATGTGTAAAAACTATGAGAACACTTATGCAATTTTAAATTAACTGTTTATGGTTAGTATCTTTTTTTTTTTTTAAACTTATGATCTTGCCATAAAGACAGAAATTGATTTTTAATCAAGGGATAGTAGTAGTACTGATAAAATCTACACATCATCCCTCTTGACCTAACTGAAGAAAATAGAGATTTTAATAAGTTTCTCTGTTCACTGTCTAATTAGGATTGACACTAACAAGTCTCAGGGGTTCCCAATTTTTTTTTTTTGTGCCATCGCCAATCTGTATAATAAATATTTAAAAGCGTATCAAAATTGTTTGATAAAAGTTTGTTACTGGTTCATAAATTGATTTTATGATGTAGTAAAAATAGCAAAGGGAGGTAACAAATAACGCTGACCTACACGGTGGCTGCAACTGCTAGTACCATATTAAAGAACAAGCAAATGCAAACTTGATCATTGAAAACTATAATTTAGTTTTATGGTCACATTTAGTGTTACAAGTGTTGGCAAAAAAAATTTTTTTTCATAATTATAAAATTTATATCTTTAGGAATATGACCCATTTATTCCCAACTAGCCTCCAGTTTTTTTTTTTTTTAAAACCATGCAGGTTCTTCACATATCTACTTTGAATAATGTTTTTTTTTTTCAGGTAGCATATGTTGAAATACCTTTTTAATACTCAAAATCTGATATTTCTCTTCAAAATTTCCAATTGCCCACCATTTTCTGTTCAGTTGCTCATCGCCCACCCAACAGTTGAAATTTCCTACCAGTGGGTGATATCACCCAGGTGGAGAAACCCTGTTCTAATTTATCTATTTAAGACTAATAAAAAAATCAAACAGTTAATAACAAAAGATAACCAAATTGTGTTGCAGTCCCTAAAATCATGTAGAAGAGACAAGAAAAGAGAGGTTGAATAAGTTAATTCATGCAGCAGAAAATACAAGCTCGTCATTCTGCACAAAGCATTTAATATTCTCAATTTAATTCTTATGATGAAAATAGGCAATACTGGAAAATTACTCACAGCTGAAGATAATTCCAGCACACCAACATTTCTGAACAATAGAGCATCAAGTATCTTTTATTCAAACAAGCAAAATTAATCATAATATAAAGAGTGAAAGAAAAAGAAAAACTTCTGCAGAAAACATCAAAGATTTCAACTAATCAAATTTCATGCAGTTATTAGTTTTCTTCCCTTCTGAATTAAGAAATCAAAATATATTGAAATTCTTCCCCAAATTAACCAAGTCAATATCTTGGATGTGTGGTCTTGATATAGCAGATATAGAAGTATATAATTATTTTCATATACACGTGACAAATATCAAAGCTTGTTTAAAGTTTTTACTTTCATATTATTTACATTATTTATATTCAGACTACTGTCCTCATCTTTGTTGTTATTATCGCAATGTTTCGGCTGTTGTGCCTTCCAGCCTTCCTCAGGCGTATATTGATCTGGGTAATCTATAGGGAATTCTGAACTTAATCTATGGAGGTTGACTGTTCTCGTTCCACTGCCCATTTCTAGGGATATCATCTCATTGTTATTTATGCTCAGTTATTTATAGTATTGTTTGATTTGACTTGTATCGGTTTTCACCCTGGTCAGGTTGAACCTGCTTCCTCCCAAGCAAGTACAGCATCACAGACCATTGCTGCCCACGCTCACCGATCCTGAGCCAGGTCACACGAAATGGTGAGCCAATCGCGATTCTATCATCAAAGACCAACTACTTGTGCACTCATAAAGGAAGATTCATTGGGATTTGATTAGGACTTGGGTATTGTTTGCCAGTTTCCACCGAGTCCAAGTACACATTGCCTGAGCCAGAGATTGAATTCACAGCAACTATGGTGTCAAATTCACTGTAATCCACTAGGCCATTGTCCTGTAGGAAGTTCAGATAGAAATTACTTTGACATGTTTTGCTGATAAACCAGAATCAGAAAATAATTTTATTTCACAAAAGCAAAATCTATATTTGCAAGGCAAAACATGAAATAAAATCCTTTTTATGAATCTGATGATGCCAGCTTATTTGCAAAACATGCAAAGTAAAAATTTTCAAAGTTGCTTTATATATTTACCATTCAATCAGATTCCCATCAATCTTCACTCTCATATATGCACAAATATACAATAGGGATAAAATACCACCATAAAAAAGGATATTCAAATTTTTGACAAAAAACGCCTTTATCTAGGAATCTGAATCAGACAAGTTTCTACAGAATTCACACAAACCATTGGGTTCCTAAAGGAAATTTACCAATATCAAGTCTGTATTTTTATACTTAAAACTAATATGCAACATAAAGCATTCTTGAAGAATTTAGAATCTTAGCTTGAGGCCATGAACGAAGTACTCAACCCATTCATCTACATTTAAAATGAACAATGCCAAGTATACAGATTTTCATTCCAACACAAAGAAACAATAATAGCAATTGTGAAAATAAATTATACTTGATCCAGTTAATTTTGGAGAAAGCAAAATCTTTACTAATTAAGTCAAATTGACTTTTGGCTAAACTTACTGAAATTTACATTCCAAGTAAATATTCTTATCACAGCCAAAGTTATAATTGGTAGTTGAATTATTTCCATTATAATTTTATTTGGAGATCACAACCCAAAAATTTGAATTTTATAACACACAAAGAGAGAGGATGTACCAGATATTTGAGAACATCTTTCAGAGGCTATAAATTAAGAGTGTCCCAAATAAACTCTCATATAAATTTGAATATCTGACTAATTAACATGTCCTAGACAAACAAAATTAAATGGGCTATGTGTTGAACAATAAAACATTTATCAAAATTCAAACAAGATATTCAAAGGGATGTAGATTTTATAACTGATTTCACAAAGCTTCACACATGTTCAATAAGTGCACAACCTGCGACATGACAAACGTCAAGTCTGTAGTCCAACTCCTGCCAAACACACTGTAGAATATGTTGCATAACATACTTCAGTACCTTAACTGATTCTCTACTTAAGTTCCTCTAGGTTTGTAGGAAGAAGGGTGATATAGACCTGCCCTTTTACATAGCTCTATAGGAACATCACAAGGTGTCAAGTCAGGCGAATGTGGTGGCCATTTCAACAGCACATTGTCATTATCACTGGCACACCTGATCCATCTCCCTGGTAGATTCTCATTGAAATAAGTTCACACAGTCAACTTGCTTAGTTTTTACACATTTGGTAAAAAATTGAGATCATCTGAGTGAAGATTGGCTATGACTACAAAATTATGTCAATTTTCTTTGATGCCCTGTATTATATGATATGTGCTAAATTTTAACATCATTTTTCATTCATCCATAATAAAAGGATTAACATGACAACTTCCAACATAGGAAGTGAAAAGACATTGTGCTTTTGGCACTAACCAAAAACCAATTGTTTGTTTTTGATTTTGTCAACTATACAGTATAGTAGAGTCAGTTGGGCACCATCTGTGAAAAAATTGCACCATGACACAATTACCTCTGCCAAAAATTTTAGGAAATGGCATGTTGTACTTCTTGGTATTCATGCCAGATAGTGCAGAGGATTCGGAAAGAGTTTGAGGAGTCTAATGGTGATTATGAAGGTATGGCACCTTGGAAAACTCACTCTGATGATTCTGATAAAAACTCCTGGAGGCCTAGATCAAGTGCCTTCAAGAAGTAGTGATGCTCTGGGTCAAGAGGGTAGCTGCTGGAAGACCCTATATTTGGCAACAGGACTTTGCACCATGTCACACAAGCAGGAGAATCCAGTGATGGCTGTCAGACAATTTCTGCAACCACACCACCCTTTACATCTGGTTACCTAAGTCCCCAGACTGCAATCTCCTTGATTATTATATGCGTGAGGTGCAGTGGAGCAAGATATCAACAAAAATCCCTGTAACACCAAAGATGAACTAAAGACAAGGATTATGGTAGCATTCATTAACTTAAACAAGGACACTATCCAGAAGAGTTACAGGAGATCCCAAAGTTGTCTGGAGGCCGTGGTTATAAACCAATGGTGATTTTATTGAATAAATTTACTCTTTAGTATTTCAAGATATTTTTGTAATTTTGGTAAATATATCTGTTAAAACGAGATGTCAGTGTTATTTTCATTTTTGTGTAATTAGATGACAATTTATCCATCACACCCTGTATATGCCTCAGGAGTAAGTGGCTGAGAATATCAAGGACTCATTGTGGATATGATATTCAAAAATTGAAAGCCACCTAATCCAAGCATGCAGTCACTTCTGAGGTTATATCAAAGCTGAGAACATTTTTATTGAATAACACAGGCATTTATTTTTGTTTTTTAATTTTTTAATCTGTAACACCCCAAACAAGGAAATAAAGCCACTAAAACACAAGGCATTACTTGCTGTGGAAGAATTAGGAACAGAAACATTACTAATAAGCAGGAAGAGAAAAATGTAATCAGAAGGACAGTAGACAGCAATTGACATTGCACTTAAATTTTTGGAGATTAAAATTGGCTGGAAAGCATGGAGCTGGAAGGGAGTTTCACAAGCAAGTGTGAGAAAAACTGCTTGCATAAAATTTAAGGCTACATCTAACCAGCATAACTAAATTGATGAGATCTCAACAATACTCTAGTATTGCAGTTAAATTAAAAAAAAAAAAAAAAACTCTAGGTAATATACATGAATTAATTCAGTCATGCAATGAAAAATAATATTTGTTTGTTAATTTTATAAAAAAGGTCTTCAGATATGAAATTGGGAAAATATGTTAATATATCAGAACATTGTATGACAAAGTGCAAAAACCCAACGAATCAAAATACATTCAACTCACCAACAAGAAATCTCATATAAGTTCTTATGTAATTCTTTTTGTAATTTAAGCTTTAGCATTGTGCATTATTATTA